TGAGAGCTCCTCTGCATCTTCCTCCAACGCCAACTCCAGATGCTCTAACCGTGGCAAAGCATTGGGTTCAGACGCATCAACTTCCAAACTCTCAACCGTGACCAGATTCAATGTCAGTTTCTTGAGTTTCGGCAGCAGAGGGAATTCTGGCAGATGCACAGTGTCATTGTAGCTACCCAGGCTCAGGGACTCGAGAGAGGAAGGTAAAGAGATTGGAGGTCCTTTCCGCCATACGTCCGGGTGACACCCCATAATCTCCAGCCGTTTGAGCTTCAAAAGTGCACACAGATTACTGGGAATTGACACGAGCTCGCTGCACAACCCAATTGTGAGGGTTTTTAGATTTGTCAGCCCTGTCACGGAGCCTGGAATCTCCCTGAGGTTGAAACAGCACTGGATATGCAGCTGCTGCAGCTGATTCAGCTTCCCAATGCCCTCAGGGAGCTTCTCATCCGAAATGAAATCCAGGTCAAGCCTGGTCAAGGAAGTTAACCCCTCGAATGAACCCGGGAGCTGCAGCCGATTAAAGACCTCTCCCTGATAAATCCTCCGGATGGCATCCATTCCCCCCAATCCCACGGGAAGCTTCAATTCCATCTGCTTCACCATGCACAGCGTCTTGAGAGCTCCTAGGCGGCCGAAATTCGCGGGAAGCTGGCGGATTTCGCAGCAACCAACCATGAGCAGGGACTTCAGGGATTTGAGATACGCAAAGGACTCCGGGAGTTCCGTGAGAGGGACCATGTACATGGTTATTCTCTCAAGGGACCCGAGATGCCCAAAAGAGTCAGGGAGGTTGGTCAGGGCCACCATACGCAGGAACAATGTCTTCAGGGCAGGCAAGTGGCCGAACTCGACGGGCAGGCTGGAAAACCGGAGGCATGAGGAGATTGTCAGGCTCTCCAACCGGGTCAGAGACGCGAAATCATCGGGCAGCCGGGTGAGTCCAGAACACCAGCGAAGGGTCAGCTCGCGGAGACACGGCAAGATCTCTCCAAGGTCGTCGGGAAGCCGGCCCAAGTCGCAATTCGCAATCACCAGCCGTTCCAGCCTGGAGCACGGCAATCCCGAAGGTAAAAAACGGCTGAAATAGAAACCATCGCCCTCAAGTTGCAGTGACTCCAGGAACCGCAGATGTGAAACGGAAAAGATGGCGGTTGGTTCGACCTCATAGGGATCGTACTTGATTGCAACGTCGGTAAGCATCGGCAGCTGCACAAGATTCACGAGATGCTGGTAAACCAGGTCCATGGAAGTTATGCGAATCGACGCGAGCGACGAAAGCTGCGAGAAACCGGGAGCGGCCAGCGCTGACGCGTCCGGGAGAACGACGATGCGGAGCTGCGAAAGCTGGAAGAACGAAGCCGGGAATACGACGTTCGGGTGAAGGCACTCGAGCGAGAGCACCTCCAGTTGCTTGCATTGCCGAAAGAGCCGATTTAAGCCAGCTTCAGAAACCGGGTGTAAGTGCTTCCTGTCGTCGTCGTTTTCCTGATCCTCGCCAATGATTCTGCTTCCCACGTGAAGAACCGCCAGCTTAGGGCAAGACGAGCCGAGGTGAGAGAGGAAGGCGTCGTCTAGGGTTTCCACGCTGCCGTCGCACAAATGCAGGTGGGTCAGGTTCGGAAAGCATGAGACAGCGTTGGCGAGGTCTTGGCGGGAAACGGCGAGATTTTCCCTGACGAGAAGCGTCGAGACGTAACGCTGGGAGAGACGGCGCCAGCGACGGCAGACAGAAGCGATGAGGAGACTAAGAGCAGCGTCGGTAAAAGCAGGAGGAATCGGTACGAGAGGTTTCTGTTCGATACCGTGTGAGTGCTCTGGTGGAGCTTCAGACCAAAAGTATTTTTGCCTCGGATACAAAAAGTCGCATGCAGCATTGTCGCGTGCAGCATCGTCGCATGTCGCATCGTTGCATGCTGCATCAATATTGTAGCTAGCAGAGAGGGGCGTTTTGCCGGTCTGCCAGAGAATCTTGATAAGTAGGTCGTCAGATAGTCGGCTGATATGTGAGCGAGACTCCATGTGTAAACTCCAACTACAACAACAGAACGGTTGAGAAACTTGCTGGGACTAGAAGCCTTACGACTAAAAGTCTATTGACAGCCAGATGCCTTGCAATGAGAAGCTACTTTATGTCTGAGGCCCTGCTCATCCTCATGTGGATTTCAAAAATCAAGACTCACGAGAACTCACAACCACGAATCATGAGCATCACTAGAGAAGAGGAGAATGGCAGGATACGATAGCTTGCTTCCAGTCATGATGGTGAGGAGTTATGTAATCCGTCAGTCAACTACCAGAAAACGTTCAAGGCAATCCTTGCGAGCCGGCTGGTGGTGAAAACACATCACGATCACAATTCAGGACCCGTTCTTGTCCTGCCGTTTAGCAAGCCAGCCAACTCGATGGGATTGGATGAGGTTCTCCTGAGAACTCATGAGCGTGTTGTTTCGTGGGGCTGAAGTCTCGCGTTCGCTTTAGTCTCACGTCGCGCCCGTATATAAATCAGAGAAATTGTCGCCTTCGCCTGCTGTATCAAGAAATTTACACTACAGTGATAAATTTCTCAAACATATGGACAAGGACAACGGCCCTGTTCGACAGGCTAACACCGACGGCTGCGGAATCCTCGCAGCTCTTTCTTTTTCACATTTTTTCCCACGGTCAGCCCGTAAAATGCGCGAATGGGGCTTTAACCCCCACTAACCTGTTGGCAGGAGTGTTAGCCTGTCGAACGCACCCGATAATTGACCCCTTCGCCCTCACAGAAAGTACCGCGAGCCTTCCCGCACAGGCAAAGGTCTAGCCCTCGCCTAGCCTAACCCTCGCCCCCCAAAAGTGGGGTTTGCCAAAGGACTCGCCAAGTGTTTGCAGTGGGAGAAACACCCACTCCGTGGACCCTAAAATAGGTCCTCGTGAACCCGTTTGGTTGAAAAAATTCTTCCATTCAAAAACATATCTTTCTTGTGAGGCGAGCGATTTGTGGAGATGGCTTTTTGTTTTTTGGCGTTGTTACCCAGACCCCTTTGGCGAGCGCCCAAAACTTTTCTACTGTGCCCGCCTAAAGGCAGGTTGAAGGGGGCGGGCAGCTTCGCCTTGTGGGCCCCGCTCCTTCCGACTCCTACTCACGAAGCTTCAGCGGTCGATCAGCTCAGAGAAGGTGCGGTGAACCCTCCTCTTAACACTAACCTAACACTAACACTTTGCAGAGTGTTAGCCTGTCGAACAGGGCCAACAAATCCCTATTGTTGCCACAAACAGCAGGAGCACAACAGCTTCACAAAAGGTGACCAAAGTATGTGGGGCCCTCGCCAGAGTGAGGATCAGTCACAGAGAATTCTTACGGCAAAATACGTCACATTTTTTTCCGCAAACACCAGAATACGACATACGCTTGCTCTGACCACATATCAGGATTACGGAGACGTAATAGAGGCTGCAATGCTCTTATTGATTGTAAACAAGACACGTTGACCGAAAAAGGTCGCACAATCCGGCATCATGTTATGTCGGCGCCACGATCTGGTGCTCCAAGGGCAGCAGCGAGCCAGCTGGCAGAGGCCCCGGCCGAGTGACGTAGTCCGTTGGATCCATCAGCTTGACGCCATCTGAGCCGTTCAACACCCACTTCGGTTTTTCCTGGAGAGGAGGGTTCGGAGAGGCAGGAGAGGAGATACAACAGACAGGTGGGGGGTGCACAGGAGGGAAACTAGGTGGATCATGCATCCTACCATGGCTACGATGGGACGATTTCCCAGTCACACTGAAGAGTTGACTTTTGAGTCGACTCAAAAGTCTACTTGCATTCTACCATGGCTACGATGGGACGATTTCCCAGTCACACTGAAGAGTTGACTTCTGAGTCAATTCAAAATTCAACTTTCATTCTACCATGGCTACCACGGGGCGATTTCCCAGTCACACTGAACAGACTGTCCACATGCACCTCCTTTTCCTGCCCATAGTGTATACACACACAAAAATGCTCCCCACACAACACAACCACACGCACCTTCCACGTCTTGCCAATCAGGTTGTAGAGACTATAGGCCGGCACCCCATCTAGCTTCAGCCTCTCCCCCGTGACTTTATTGAATGCCACCGTCCCTGACGCTCCCTCGAACCGCTCGCAACCGGCCGGCTGGTTTCGGAAGCACTCAAGCACGGCTTGTGCGGTTACCGCCCGGTTTTGGACGGCTATGATGTTCCGAAACGCCTCGAAGAAGGCCCAGATGGAGTCGATCAGATGCGCCACGTATAAGCGCGTCTCGTTATACTGTATGGCGTGCAGGGAGGGGTTGGAAGTAATACTCATTCGAGAGACTGTATTGCTCGATGAGAGAAGCCTTTAGGTTTGAGGAGTGAATGAGCGAGTGAGTGATTGAGTGAAGGGGGAGAGGGATACGAGTTGAGACAATGGGTGAGTGGGGAAAATGAAACAATTGGTGTGCGGGATAGTGAGGGTCAGTGAATGGACGCAGGTTGGGGCTAAGAGGAGCTGGGGATGATGCATTTTCTCTAGACACATCTCCTCACCTTGGGGTGGGGTGCTTTGAGCATTGACCACATTGACCAGCCCCACATGACCGCAGGACGCCTGCTTTTAAGCTGACTAGAAAGTCATCTCGTTACAGAACAGCTGTTACTTGTCGCCTGCTTACAATGCCACACACAATGCATCTCGTCACCTTTGGTGTGGTTGGCGCATTGATGAGCCCAACGTAATCGTCTGAGGCTTGCTGCTTCCAGGTTAGGTTGGGTTGACACAAAACACACCAGACAGCAGGCTGCAGGCAGCAGGTAAGATGCTCTCACCTTTGGAGTGGTCGGTGCGTTGATGAGCCCAACGTAATCGTCTGCGGCTTGCTGCTTACAGGTTAGGTTGAGTTGACTCAAAACACACCAGAGAGCAGGGAGCAGGCAGCAGGTCACGTGCTCTCACCTTTGGCGTGGTCGGTGCATTGATGAGCCCAACGTAATCGTCTGCGGCTTGCTGCTTACAGGTTAAGTTGAGTTGACTCAAAACACACCAGAGAGCAGGGCGCAGGCAGCAGGTCACGTGCTCTCACCCTTGGCGTGGTCGGCGCATTGATGAGCCCGACGTAATCGTCTGCGGCTTGCTGCTTCCAGTGGCTCGTGAAGGGACGCAGGTTGGGGGTTGAGGCAACTTCCTTTGAGTCTTCGTGCTTTCAAGGGGACCCAGAAGCAACTGTGTTACAATGCCACACACGAAGCATCTTCTCACCCTTGGCGTGGTCGGCGCATTGATGAGCCCCACGTAATCGTCTGCGGCTTGCTTCTTCCAGTGGCTCGTGAATGGACGCAGGTTGGGACTCTCAAAGGGCACTGGGGAGGAGGAAGGGAGAGAGAGAGAGAATAGAGAAAGGGGAGGATGAGGGCATTGTTGTGCGTGTTGACCACACCGAAAAGGGAAAAGACACTTTGAGTGGATTTAATAGCAGTCGTCTGCGGCTTGCTGCTTCCAGTGGTTCGTGAATGGACGCAGGTTGGGACTCTCAAAGGGCACTGGGGAGGAGAGGGAGGAGGGAGAGGAGGGCGATGGGGAGAAAGAGGAGAAAGAAAGCAATGTGTGCTTGTCGTTCACTCAAAGGTGGAAAGGAATCAACGCTTGTCTGCTGCATGCTGCTTCCAGTAATTCGTGAATGGAGGCGGGCTGGGACTCTCAAATGGTACCAGGGAGAAGGGAGAGGAGGAGAGGGGGGAGTGAAAAGGAGAATGAAAAGAACGAGGGCAGTGTGTGCTTGTCGGTCACTGACACACAGAACTGTGAAGAGGCACACCACTTTTGAGGCACCTCTACATGCCTTGCCGGACAAGCCAAAAAAAAACAAAAAAAAAAACATACCTTTGCGCCCCTAGAGACTCTGAATAGTCTAGTCTGGAAACCTCGGAAATACAACGATTCATTATTCGACTAAAGCGCAAAAAATGCAAACTCGTATGCGAAACTACATAAGATGGTATCACTTACTGTTCGGACCGACCGCCATCTCCCCTTGCAGAGACCGGGCCATACCTCCGAGCCTCTCCCCAGCTGTGAGGGGAAGGAGACATGAGGAAGGATATAAAGGTAGGTAAGAGTGCTGTTTGCTTGCTTCCACTGTTTGCAAGACCAACCATCATCTCCCCTTGCAGAAACCGGACCACTCCGACGAGCCTCTCCCCAGCTGTGAAGGGAATAAGTATGCAGGAGTAGAGGGAGAGGAGAAGGAGAAGAGGAAGGGGAAGGGTGTGAGCGCTGTTTGCAGAGTGACCCGGCCACGGGCTGCCCGATCTTCCTGTTGGGACCGTGACGAATTTTGAGTGAACTGAAAAATCATACTGACCCGGACACAGGCTGCTTGTACTCACTGTTGGGTGGGACCGACTCCCATCTCCCCTTGCAGAGAGACCGGGCCATACCTCTGAGCCTCTCAAGTATCAGATCCCAGGTACCACCAGGGGATGGCACTGATTGGTGTGTGCTACTGAGTGAGTGAGTTAACAATCGAGTGAGTGAGTGAGCGGGTGATTGAGTGAGGGTGAGAGAAAGTGAGTGAGAGAGGGAAGCAAAATCAGATGCTCACATTGGTCAACGAAGTCAAGAGCTGCCACGCCATCAGTCCCCAGGTACCACCATGGGTAGCTAGTGAAGTTCTGAGGCGGAAATAAAAAAGCGGAGATTGGGAGGGGAAGTGCAAAAGAAGGGCATCCAATTCAAGGTACCACCAGCACCACGTGTAAGAAAGGGAAGGGGGGGGAGAGGGGGAGAGGGGGAGAGGCGGGGAGGGGAGAAAGGAGAAGGAAGAGAGGAGAAAAAGGTCCAGGAACGACGGCCATCGTTGGATTGAACGTATCACCAGGAATGGCAAGCGAGAGAATGGAAGTGGGAGGCTGTCCATAAACAAGTGAGAGGCTTTCTCCTTCAAACGGCCGTTCTCGCTCCACCCTCCTCAGCTTTCTCCCCTCCAACCTTCCCCTTTGCTCAACTCTCCGCACCTCACCTCCCCTCTCTCCTCACCTCACATCCCCGTTCTCCTCATCTCCCTCCGTGCCGCCCGCCAAAACCCCTTCGACAAGTTTTAAGGCGCGTCAAAACTCAAATCTCATTGGCTGCATCTCAACCCCTCCCCTTCTCACCTCCCCCTTTCTCAACCCTCCCCCGCCCACCCCCCTCATCACCTACCCTTTTTAAATCCCTCTCAACCTCCACTCACCTCCCTCACTGCCGCCCGCCAAAACCCCTCGGCGACAGCTGGCAGGGCGGCAAGCACGCAGATGGACCTCTCCCCGACCGCCACATCAGCAAAGAGCGGCGCAAACTCGTCCACGGGGTAGCTGACGGGGACGGTGCTGACGGGGATGAGAGAGCCGTCCAGCTCAGCACGGATCTTGGCGGCGAGATCTGAGCCGTAGATCTCGTTGGAGTAGAACAGATGGACTTCGTTGAACTGGAAGAATCTGATCAGCGCCGCGATTTCCCTGGCCTGGTGCTTGTCAGCGAAGCTGCTTGTAAGGAGGACAGGGAAGGAGAGGAGCAAGAGGGGGAAGGCTAGGATGAATATTGGGGCAGGGTATTTTTCTCAGTATTCTGAATCCCATTCATATCCTCACACTCCAACCCATTCCCACCCAGTCACACCAATTTCCACCCACTCCCACAATCCGGAAACACGTGTTATAATCCGGCGTGTCGAGCACGTCAGCATTAGCAGCAAAGGATACGAAGGGAATCCCCTTGGGGTGTGTGGGAAGGAAGAGCAAATGACACCAAGGCAACTAGAGCACCACTTCACACCCATTCGCACCTGTTACCGCCGACTCCCACAAATCTCCAGCCCACTCACACTGTTCTGAAGAACGTGTTGTAATCCGGGGTGTTGAACACACCAGCCGTGGGCTGTGGGGGGAGGAGACCCTCCCTCAAGACAGCAACAGCAACCTCTCCAGCCCACTCACACTGTTCTGAAGAACGTGATGTAATCCGGGGTGTTGAACACATCAGCCGAAGCAGCAAAGGACACGAAAGCAACAACAGAACCCATTCACACCCGCTTATACCCACTCACACTGTTCTGAAGAACGTGCTGTAATCCGGGGTGTTGAACACATCAGCCGTAGCAGCGAAGGGGAATACCTTTGCGGAGTCCCTTCTCGAGACAAAGAGAGCACCCCATGTACCCACTCCCACCGATTCACACCCACACCCACCCACTCACACTGTTCTGAAGAAAGTGTTGTAATCCGGGGTGTTGAACACATCAGCAGTAGCAGCAAACGACACGTAGGGGATGCCTTTGGGCTGTAGCACGGAGTTGGCTCCCTTGACTGCCTCGGAGCACGCTGGTCCCACCACCCCCACCACGTTCATCAGGTCTAGACGCTGTGAGTGGGGACACGGGGGGAGGGGGGGAAAGGAACGGGTCATGCCATGGGTGGATGGGACGGAGCGCACGGAGTTGGCTCCCTTGATTGCCTGCCTCGGAGCAGGCAGGTCCCACCCCGTTCATCAGGTCTAGACGCTGTGAGGAGAGGAGAAGGGCAGGAGAGAACAGGACGGCATGAGGGAATGGGAGGGCATGAAAATTTTGGAAAGGGGAGCAGCGGAGCAGGGAGGGGGGGTTAAAGCAGCAGCAAATGACACGAAGGGAACGCCTTTGGGCTGTAGCACGGAGTTGGCTCCCCTCACTGCCTCGGAGCACGCTGGTCCCACCACCCCCACCACGTTCATCAGGTCTAGACGCTGGAAGCGGGAGGGGAGAAGGGGGGAGAGGGGAGGGGGAGAGTGTGTGGCGAGTATGGGGTATATGGGGGGTACGGGGTTGGCTCCCCACACAGCCACGGAGCACGCCGGCCCCACCACCCCCACCACGTTCATCAGGTCTAACCGCTGGGAGAACAGGTGAAGGGAGAAGGGAGGGGATGGGAAGAGCACGGGGTTGGCTCCCCTCACTGCCTCCGAGCAGGAAGGTCCCACCACGTTCATAAAGTCTAGACGCTGAACGGATAGGCGAAGGGAAGGGGGGAGAGGGGAGGGGGAGAGTATGTGGCGAGTATGGGGTATATGGGGGGTACGGGGTTGCCTCCCCTCACTGCCTCCGAGCAGGAAGGTCCCACCACGTTCATAAAGTCTAGACGCTGTGAGGAGTGGGAGGAAGAGGGGAGGGTGGGGGTGTGAGGGGAAGGTTGATTTGCCCTTCCTCACTGCCCCTGAGCAGGAAGGTCCCACCACGTTCATTAAGTCTAGACGCTGAACGGATAGGCGAAGGGAAGGGGGAGAGGGGAGGGGGAGAGTATGTGGCGAGTATGGGGTATATGGGGGGTACGGGGTTGCCTCCCCTCACTGCCTCCGAGAAGGAAGGTCCCACCACGTCCATTAAGGCTAGTCGCTGAACGGATAGGCGAAGGGATAAAGGAGGGGACGGGAGGGCATGAGGGACTGGGAGGGCATGGGGGAATGGGGGGGCATGAGGGAATGAGAGGGCAGGAGAGAATGGGAGGGCATGAGGGATTGGGAGGGCATGAGGGAATGGGAGGGCAGGAGAGAATGGGAGAGGGGAGCAGTGGGTAGTGAGGGGAGGGGTTGAGGCAGCAAAGGACTCGTGGAGTGGGCTCCCCCCACAGCAGCCGGGACGAACCTCACTTTTTTTTTTTTTTTTTGAGACGTCTCTTGAGATGCCTATTGAGACGACTTTTGAGACGTCTCAAAAGGCAGCGGAGGACACGTGGAGTTGGCTCCCCCCAGAGCAGTCGGGATGAACCTCACTCAAAAAGTTGACTTTTGAGACGTCTCTTGAGACGAATTTTGAGACATCTCAAAAGGCACCCAAGGACACGAGGAGTTGGCTCCCTCCACAGCAGTCGGGACGAACCTCACTCAAAAAGTTGTAACCTAAAAGCTAACAACTAACAAATAAGGTGCAACCTTTTTCCAACGCCCCCTTCTCCACCCCTTTCCCCCTGTTGCTCCCCCTTTCCCATTTGAAGTCAATCTTACCTCTGCTGCCACTGCTGCATCCTCGCTATTGCACGGCACCACCTCCACCACTGGCATGACATTAAAAGTTGCATTATAACGGGGCCCGAGCACGTCCAGCGCCACCCTTGTAGCGGACATCCTAACAGCGCGTACAAATCAGAGGGAGGAGTTGATACGGGAGGGTAACGGCCAAGAGCTCCGTTCTTTGTTAATGGAAGGAGGTACTGAGAGGAAGTATGCGGGATGGGAGGGAGAGATGACTCAAGAGGCGCTTTGGAAAGAGCTACCAGTTCCTCGCTTTGCAAATGGAGGGAGACGCGGAGGTGAGACGGCGGGAGGGGGAGGGAGAGATGATTCAGGAGGCGCTTTGAAAAGAGCTACCAGCTCCTGGCTTTGCGAATGGAGGTAGACACACGAAGGGGAGGTGGCGGGAGGGGGGGAGAGAGATGAAGGGGACATCAAGAGGGGTGTTGGGTGAAAAGCAAGAAGGGTGAGTGAGCGGAGGTGAGAGAGTGAGAGCAGGGTGGGAGGAGAGGAAGGTGAGTGAGAGGAGTGTGAGTAAGAGGAGTGTGACAGTAACGAGCGTAACTCACCATTCGTCCGCCAGCCGTTTGGTGATGCCGATGTTGACTTCGGGACTCGGGAGAATAAAGCCGAGCCGCAGATACTGCACCGGCAGCGCGTCGCACGGCCGGCAGCAGATGCTGCTAAGTAGTAGCAGACCTAAGAGTGGGCCGACTTTAGCAGGGATATTTCCCGCGTGGCGTATGGCCCGCCTAATAGTTCCCATCGAAGCCGTGAGGTGCGTAGTGGATTCGACTTTAGGGTGTGATTGTTCGGGTGAGTGCTAGCGGGTTATGGAATGTTCCTGTAACGGGGGGTCTCTGATTGTAACTGGTCAACGTGACTGTAACGGGCAGTGGTGATTGAAGCAATTACTACTCTATGACAGGTAGCTTGTAAATAGCGGTTCGCGTTCTGAGGAGCCTGAGCAGCGGCTAGCCGACTCAACCGGTAGAGCTGACGTGTCAGGGGGTCCTGCGGGGCTAAAGGACGTTACTCCAAACGGAGGTGACTTTTGAGTAAATTTGAAAGTTCCACGTCAATAAGAGCCGTTCCTGCTCTGTAACTTGACAGCCTTCGGAGTCGATTCGAAAGTTCCACGTCGATAAGAGCCGTTACTGCTCTAACTCGCTAACTTGACAGCCTTTGGAGAGAGATAGCTGCGAGGCTATGGTGTTACGAATAATATCAGGAAAGGGAAACCACTATGGATGAAAGGTGATCCCAGTGTTGGTGCGTGTGATGACAGGGACACACGATGTCGTCAACGCCACGTGCTGTCCTGTCGGCGCGTCAAAGGCAACCAGGTAAGACTGTATTCATTGCATCACTTCGCTTTACACGACTCTTGCCTACATGGCACCGAAAAGGACGCAAGTGGCAATTTGTCCGTTTACCGCGACTGGAAACGGACCGCCTCGCTGACTCACAGAGAGTAAAACAAAATAATCCGAGAAATAAATAAGGTGGGATGGCAATTATGGACGGTGCGAGGGAAGTTGTTTCGCAAGAGACGGTGTTCCTAATTTTCGCAAGAAATTAGGAACCTAGCGGAGAAACACCTCTGACAACGTCGGTGGCATACGCGCCGTCGATCTCCTCCCCTGAAGTCTCCCTAGAAACATCCCAAGCGTTTCCGGCTCGGCCGTACCTCACTTGCAAGCCGCACACAAACCCACTGTATGCCACTGGGAAACTCGAACCTGAACCAGGTTTCCGCGAGCCGCGTGTCGGCAGGCTCTCCAAATTTCTTGGCGGGAAGAGCTCACAGCTCGGGTGCGTGAAACTTTACTTCAGTAAACTAATGACACTACTAAGTAAAAGTCGCACTACCTGAGTAATATGGACTGCTATGTATAAGAAATTGTTGGAAACAATTACTGCCACTTTCTGTTCCCCAATAATGCCAAGTTCGAAGACATCTAATCAAATACTCACTCTATTTCCCTACTGTCCCGCTCCCATTGTCAAAAGCTCAAGCTACAATACACTGTCGATTTTCCTATCCCATCTTGTTTTGTATTTGCCGGTGCACGTACACCAAAAACTCCACGTAGGACATCCCCGACGGCGAACGGTCCTCGACCAGCGTTTGAAAGAAAAGATTCTCTGATGTGAGACATGGGATGAAAGGCATCAAACGTACACAAATAAAGCGTTGCACAATAAGGAAGTGTTACTGCACTGGACGGATGGAAAGGCCAGTGAGGCGATGAGTAAGAACGAAGAGACACATAAGGGAGGAAAGCCGCACAAGAAACACAGTCTTATACATATGACCTTTAATGTTAAAGGAATGCAATCTCATACCTGATGGATCACCTCTCTTGAGAAGCCGAAGCCTGCAGGTTTGGTTAAAGGATGCGGGGGGAAGGGAGATTAGTGCATGTGTGGGGGATGGGGAAGAGGAAAGAGGGGAGGGGGGAGAGGGGAGGGGGGAGAGGGGAGGGGGGGGTCGGGTGGAGCTGGGTGTGGGTGTGGGTGTGCGTGTGGGTGTGCGTGTGGGTGTGGGTGTGTGTGTGCGTGTGCGTGTGGGTGTGGGTGTGTGTGTGCGTGTGCGTGTGGGTGTGGTTGCAGTGGGTGTGGGTGGGTACGTGAAAACGCCAAAGAGGTTGGGGGCCAGAACAGTGTGATTCATGGCAGAAGAGTGACAGAAACGAAACAACTCGGAGGCAACACCTTCCATTTCCCCTCCCATCTAACCTTAACCTGTTCTGTTAGCATCGATCCTCCCTACAAGCCTCTCCACACAACTTGTAAGTCTCCCATAGGTTCATATGCGCTTCCCATACCCTTACAACCCTCCCATACCCTTACGAGCCTCCTATACCCCTTATAAGCCTCCCATACTCTTTGTAAGCCGCTCACCTGAGGTACGAGCACCGCTGGCGACGAATCTCGTTCACAATGGCATTGAGCTTGCGCGATGCAGGGTTGTGAAACTCTTGCAGCAGGAACTGCGGGATGGGCAGGATGGAAGGGTGACGGGAAGGAGCAGGAAAGAGAGGTGAAACGGGGGAGACTAGGAGAAGAGGAGAGAGGAGGTGGAAGGGGGGAGATTAGGGGCATAGGAGAGAGGTGGAAGGGGGGGGTAGTAGGAGAAGGCGAGAGAGGAGATGGAAGGGGAAGGGGCGATCCAGTTCAGAAGGACGTTCAGCTTGAGCGATGCAGGGTTGTCAAACTCTTGCAGCCAGTCAAGAAAGTCAACCCAAGTCAAGTGACAAGCGGGGCAAGAGCAGGTGGCAGGCGCGGGGACTCACGGGGCCGGGAGCGTTTTCATCAACAGAACGCAACCCAGAGGGGTCAACAGGTCAAGGAAAGCCATGCTACTGAATCCAGTCGATTGGGTCAAGCAAGTCAACCCAAGTCAAGCGGGTCAAGAGGTGCCACGCCACTCACGGGGCCGGGAGCGATTTCATCGACGGATTGCAGGCCAAAGAGGTCAAACAGCAGATGGCTGTCCGCCCAGTTCTCCACCAGTCAAGAAAGTCAACCCAAGTCAAGCGCGTAAAGAGTTGCCACTCACCGGGCCGGGGGCAATCTCATCGACGGATCGCAGGCCAAAGAGGTCAAACAGCAGATGGCTGTCCGCCTCCCTGCCCACCCACACCACCGCCTCCTCCCCGTTCTCCACCAGAAACACTCCATCCGGCTCGAGCTTTTCACTGGAGAGGGGGAGCGCGGACGGCAGGTGCTCATGCTGCTGCCCCTCCTCTGTCCCGTTCTGCTGCTTCTGCTGCTCCTGATGGGTTCAAAGAGGGAGATTTGATGACAAGAACAGAGAATCAGCCCACCCACACCACCGCCTCCTCCCCGTTTTCCACCAGGAAGACCCCATCCGGCTCCAGCTTTTCACTGGAGAGGGGCCGCGCAGAGGGGAGATGCTCATGCTGCTCCTGCCCCTCCTCTGTCCCGTTCTGCTGCTTCTGCTGCTCCTGAAAAGATGGGAGAGGGGAAAACGGGAGGTCAAAGCAAGAGAGAAAAGTAAAACACTTGAGCACACCCACACCACGGCCTCCTCCCCGTTCTCCTCCAGATACACCCCGTCCGACTCCAGCTTCTCGCTTGAGAGGGTTCAAAGAGGAAGATTGAGAGGGGAAAACAGGGGAAAGAACAGAGTTAAGCCACACCACCACGGCCTCCTCCCCGTTCTCCTCCAGACACACCCCGTCCGACTCCAGCTTCTCGCTTGAGAGAGGCAGGGCGGACGGCAGGGTGTCATAAGTCGAGTTTTGAGTCGACTCATAACTCTAGAGAGACAGGGCAGACGGCAGGGTGTGATAAGTCGAGTTTTGAGTCGACTCAAAACTCTAGAGAGGCAGTGCGGACGGCAGGGGGAAACACGAGGGAAAGAAGTTAAGAGCAGAGGAAGGCGAAGAGGCGCGGGAAGAGGCGCGGGAAGGCAAGAGACATGCAGAGCGAGCAGAGAGGCGTGCAGAGCGGTGCAGGAGGAGGTGACATGAGGTGCAGAGCGGTAGAGTGAGGTGTCATTTACCTGGTTGGCTGCGTCCTTCAAGAGGTGGTGCAGGGCGAAGAGGCGCGGGTAGACGAGAGGAACGCAGAGTGAGGCAGAGAGGGATGCAGGGCGAGGTGTCAACAGTTGCAGGGTGGTGTAGATAAGTACACTCAGTAGTGAATGAACCTTACCTGGTTTGCTGCGTCCTTCAGGAGGTGGTGCAGGGCAAAAAGGCTTAGTGGGAATATACGCTCAGAACCTAAAGCGTATAGCGTATATACGCTTGCGTTCATACGCAAAACGCTATACGCTAGCTAATACGCTATACGCTTTCAGATTTTTTTAGAGGCTGCCCGGGAAAAAAAATTGTGTGTACACGGAAAGATGCGGAATCTCCTGGTGAGCATTTCGCCGAAGTCGAGGTGCAATTCGGGGTTGTAGGGAAGCGGGAATGTGCCTTACAATCGCGTCTGGCAGTTCAGATCTACAATTTTGATTAGTACCGCATTGAAATCCATCCCATCTACGAACTCCAACCTGTCAAAACGTCCCCCCAACAAACCCCACTCACGCTACTAACCAGCCAGCCCAACTGCACTCGACATTTCCCGCTTCCCAACAGAGCTAATCCCGATTCCTACTTTTCCTTCTAGCGATAGTGTCTACTACACGTCCCACCCTAATCGGAGTTCAGACTTAGGAGAATGCTACGAAATTCTTAGTGAGAATATGGAATACCTTCCTGATGTTGAGCACGACATTGTTTTTCACCCTGCCCGGGATTTTTTTTCCCTGCCCGAAAAAGCGGATTCCCAAAGCCGACCCTTCAGCGTTTAGCGTATATACGATACGCGTATATACACTACACGCATATATTCCCACTAAGCAAAAAGGCGTGGGTAGGCGAAAGGCACACAGAGCGAGGCAGAGTGGTGCAGAGCGGTGCAGGGGGAGGTGACAAAAGGTGCAGAGTGGTGGACAGCGGTGCAGAGATGCCCACCTGATTCGCTGCGTCCTTGAGGAGGTGGAGTAGGAGGCGCGGGTAAACGAGAGGCACACAGAGCAAGGCGGACAGTGGAGAGAGGTAACCGGTAGGAGAGGTGACAGGAGGTGCAGAGTGGCAGAGAGAGAGGTGCAGAGATGCTCACATGGTTGGTAGCATCCTTGAGAAGGGGGTGCAGAGCGACTAGGAGAGGATAGACGAGAGGCACACAGAGCGACGCAGAGAGGGGTGCAGAACGCTGCAGGAGGAGGTGACAAGAGGTGCAGAGCGGTGCAGCAAGGCGTGTTAAGTGAACCTTACCTGGTTCGCTGCATCTTTCAAGAGGTGGTGCAGGGCGAAGAGGCGCGGGTAGACCAAGGGCACGCAGAGCGAGGCAGAGAGTGGTGCAGAGCGGTGCAGGGGGAGGTGACAAGAGGTGCAGAGTGGTGGACAGCGGTGTGGAGATGTTCACCTGGTTGGCAGCATCCTTGAGAAGGTGGTGCAGGGCGAAGAGGCGCGGGTAGACCAAGGGCACACAGAGCGAGGCAGCGAGGGGCCGCACTCTCGCCAGCCAGGCGGAGCGCTCGTCTACCTTCACGTCTCCTCTGAGGCCCTGCGACTTGAGGAGGGCTGGGGGCGAGAGAGGGGAAGGAGACGGCAGGTGAGGGATAGGGTCGATGGGGAGGGGATAGGCAGGGCACAGCGCACTCTGGCGAGCAAGGCGGAGCGCTCGTCCACCTTCACGTCTCCTCTGAGGCCCTGTGACTTGAGGAGTGCTGGGGGGCGGGGAGAGGGGCAACAAGTGGGGGAAGAGGGATAGGGTCGATGGGGAGGGAATGGGCAGGGCACAGCACAGCTCGCTCTCGCCAGCCAGGCGGAGCGCTCGTCCACCTTCACGTCTCCTCTGAGGCCCTGCAACTTGAGGAGGGCTGGAAGGGGCGAGGAGTGGGGCAAAGAGTGGGGGAAGAGGAATAGAAACGATGGGGAGGGAATGGGCAGGGCACAGCACAGCGCACTCTGGCCAGCCAGGCCGACTGCTCGTCCACCTTCACGTCTCCTCTGAGGCCCTGTGACTTGAGGAGTGCTGTGGTGTTAAGGGAGGGGAGGAGGGGTTGATAGAGAGAGCATAGCTGAGGAGAATGGGCGAGAGGCACACCGAGCGAGGCAGAGAGGGGTCGCACTCTGGCAGGCCAGGCAGAGCGCTCGTCCACCTTCACGCCTCCCCTCAGGCCCTGCGACATGAGGAGCGCTGGAGGTGGGGGGGATGGGGTGATGGAGGGATGGGGGTCAAGGAAGGAGAGTGCACAGAGGACGGAAATACGAGATGTGTTGGCAACAAGTAGCTGGTGCGCACTCCTGCCAGCCAGGCCGACCGCTCGTCCACCTTCACGTCTCCCCTCAGACCCTGCGACTTGAGGAGGGCTGGGGAGGGGAAAGGAGAGACAGGAGAGGGATCAGGAGAATGGGCATGGGAATGGGCAGACTACAAGTGCACTTGGGCCAGCCAGGCTGATCACTCGTCCACCTTCACGTCAGGCGAGCCAGGCTGGAGGGGGAGTGGTGGGAGGATCGAACACGAGTGAAGCGAACAGATGAGACATCATGCACTGACACAGACAGAGGCCAGCCAGGCTGATCACTCGTCCACCTTCACGTCTCCTCTGAGGCCCTGCGACTCACAGCGAGTGTGCACGGCAGCAGCTTCAGCACCGCTGGTGAGATAAGTTGGCCGGAGGAAGAGGCAGTGGCACAGAACGTGCGGTAGGTGTAGGGGAGAATGGAAGGTGTAGAAAATGAGGATGGAAGATGTAGAAAATGAGGATGGAAGGTGTAGAAAATGAGGATGGAAGGTGTAGAAAATGAGGATGGAAGGTGTAGAAAATGAGGATGGAAGGTGTAGAAAATGAGGATGGAAGGTCTTACCCAAGTTGTAGAGTGGAAATGGAAGGTCTTACCACAGTGTTTGGAAGCAGCTTGAGTGCCTCCGGTAGATAGAATGAGCTGGCCGGAAGAAGACCCAGTGGCGCAGAACTTGCAGTGGGATATGTGCCTGTAGAGAATGCTCACTGCCGTCCGCACTGCTGCGTGCTCTGATATGTGCCTGTGGTCCACCTGCATACTACATGCTTACCCGGACTCTGCTACTCACCCAAGGTGTACAATGGTAGCAGCTTGAGCGCCTCTGGTAAGATATGTTGCCCGGAGGAGGAGGCAGTACCGCAGAACTTGCCGTAGGTGTAGAGAATGCAAGGTGTAGAGGATGAGGATGGAGAGGACTTACCCAAGGTGTAAAGCGGTAGCAGCTTGAGCGCCTCTGGCAAGATAAGTTGCCCGGAGGAGGAGGCAGTGGCACAGAACTTGCGGTAGGTGTGGAGAATGCTCACTGCTGTCTGCACTGCTGCTTGCCCTGCTGACTGCCTGTGGTGTGCCTGTATCCTGCATGCTTACCCGGACTCTGCTACTCACCCAAGGTGTACAATGGTAGCAGCTTGAGTGCCTCTGGCAAGATGAGCTGCCCGGAGGAGGAGGCAGTAGCGCAGAACTTGCGGTAGGTGTAGAGAATGCTCACTGCTGTCTGCACTGCTGCGTCTCGCACTGGCTGCACCGGGTGGGTTACCACGTCCGCCGCAGCTGGAAAGAGGGAGGGGGAAGAGGGAGGGAGAGGGTAAGGGTGGGGGACAGAGGTCGGAACTTGGCGTTAGGAATAGAGAATGCTGACTGCTGTCTACACTGCTGCATCCTGCAATGGTTGCACGGGGTGAGTTGCCACATCTGCAGCAGCTGCATTGAAACGGGTGGAAGGAGAGAGAGCGAATAGGAGAGGGAGAGGAAGAGAGACAGGAGACAGACTAACAGACTAGTCTTGAGCATGTACGCAAATTGTGCGTCCAGATCGGCCCTCGGAAAACAGAGGCCAGAGAGGCAGTGGTGGGAAGCGAGAGGGTGTGCACTCAAGAGACACACACCCCCTTACACTATCCCTCTTCACCACTCCTCACCGTCCCCAACCCACCTGTCTTGAGCATGTACGCGAATTGCGCGTCCAGATCGGCCCCGCGGAACACAGAGGCCAGAGAGGCCGTGGTGGGCAGTGAGAGGGTGTGCACTCGCACACGCCTCTCCCCGGTGGTTGTCGTGTAGAGAATGGCGCACTGCAGAAGGGGAAAAGGAGGGGTGGGAGATGGAGGGGAGGGGATTAACGGGAGGATACCGAAGAGAGTGGTGGGGAGTGAGAGCGTGTGCACTCGCACGCGCCTCTCCCCCGTGGTGGTGGTGTAGAGAATGGCGCACTGCAGGGAAGGAAAGGGTGAAACAGAGAGGTGCAGAGATGCTAATTAGCTCGACTCTAAACAATTGGGGCAATGGTGGGGGCAGCGAGAGAGCGTGCACTCGTACACGCCTCTCCCCCGTGGTTGTTGTGTAGAGAATGGCACACTGCGGAGGGAGAAAGGGGGGGACATGCAGGGCAGGGGGGTGATGAAGGGGAGGGTACGGAAGAGAGTGGTGGGCAGCGAGAGGGTGTGCGCTCGCATGCGCCTCCCCCCCGTGGTGGTGGTGTAGAGAATGGCGCACTGCAGAGGGAGGGGTAATTGAGAATAAGTTAGAGGGGAAAAAAACAAAACTTAGACGTGGGAAGCAGGAGTAGTGGTGGGCAAGAAAGACCAACACGGGAACAACAGAGGCCCACCTGAGAGCAACAGAGACCCATCTGAGAGCAACAGAGACCCACCTGAGAGCAACAGAGACCCACCTGGAAGCAACAGAGGCCCACCTGAAAGCAGGCTTCGCTGTTCTCTGCGAGTTTCTCATCGTGCTTGACGGTTGCCATGATGGCCTTGTCACTGTCCATCTGGGTGTGGTTAAAAAAGGGGGGAGAAGTGTAGTTGTATGAGAGTGATTAGAGGAGGATGTGACAACACAGGGTGAGAGCAGGAACGGCTTGATGGTTGCCATGGTGGCCTTGTCGCTGTCCATCTGGGTGTGGTTGATAAGGGAGGGGGGGGGAGAGGGTAGGGTACTACTGTGATAACATGCCTAACGGTGTGCTTGATGGTTGCCATGATGGCCTTGTCGCTGTCCATCTGGGTGTGGTTAAAGGGGAGTAAGGGTGCCCGGGAAGGCGGAGGGGGAAGGGCGGGGAAGGGGGACGGGGAAGGGGGGGGAAGGGAAGGAAGGGAGAGAGGGTACTAATGTGGTGACACGCCTAACAGTGTGTTTAATGGTTTCCGTAATGATCTTCTCGCTGTCCATTGAAATGTGATTATACGCACGTGATTGAATGAGCGTGATTATAAGAGCACGTGACAATACAGGGTGGGGCCAGGACGGGCAGCAAGGGTCGTCCTTGTGAAAGTCCAAAAGCTCAAAGAAGCAGAAAGATCCAAACGTAACAGAATGACTTTTGAGGCGCCTCAAAAAGATCCAGACGTAACAGAATGACTTTTGAGGCGCCTCAAAAGACCCCCACATAATAAATTGCCCGAAACAACTCAGAGGGACGCACCGCTGGCAGATATATTTCGGCAGGGATGCGGCGGTGAAAGTTGCCAAAGTAATCGGACACAGACAGGCCCTGCAGAGAGGGCGGGGGGGGAAGGAGGGGAGGAAACGGTGGTGTGGGCAGTATGATTGGCCAGCAGGGATGCGGCGATGGAAGTTGCCAAAGTAGTCCGATACGGACAGGCCCTGCAGAGAGGGTGCGGGGGGAGAGGAGAGGGAGAGCGCAGGGTGAGGTAGGAGGGTATGTTTGAAGGACCTCGGCCCTGTCCTCAAGGGATGCGGTGATGGAAGTTGCCAAAGCAATCGGACAGGAACAGGCCCTGCAGAGAGGGTGCACGGGGGATAAGTGGGAAGGGACGCAGACAGATTCATATTGTTGACCTGCCTAACGAATTATCTGCAGGGATGCGGTGATGGAAGTTGCCAAAGCAATCGGACACGGACAGGCCCTGCAGAGAGGGCGCGGGGGAGAAAGGGAGGGAGGAAAGGAGGAGAGGTTGTATCAGTAAGCGCATGCTGGGTATTTTTTAGAATTCTCAATAATACCGAACTAGTCTGCAGGGATGCAGCGATGGAAGTTGCAGAAGTCGTCAGACACCTGAGCCCACCCCTCTGTTGTTTTCACCTGAGCCCACCTGCCTGCTCTGTTGTTCTCACCTGGCTGCACCGCACTTTCATGACCCCTTCAAACGTGTGCGGCCGTCTCATGGCCCCGTCTGTTGTTTTCACCTGAGATCTCACCTGTCTGGTCTGTTGTTCTCACCTGGCTGCACCGCACTTTCATAACCCCTTCGAACGTGTGCGGCCGTCTCACAGCCCAGCGCAGGTCATTATGCAGTTTACCCCCGTCGTGAGCGGCACTGAAGGGGTAGTAGCTGTAGAGCTGGGGGGAGAGCGGTGGGGAGGTTTATGGGGAGGTGAAAGAAGGTATGGGAAGTGTGTGAGAAGAGGTTCTCGATGAGTTGAAGGGCCGCCTCACAGCCCAGCGCAGGTCATTATGCAGTTTACCCCCATCGTTCGCCGCACTGAAGCGGTAGTAGCTGTAGAGCTGGTGAACGGTGGGGAGAGGTGGGGGGGGTGGACAGGTGTATTGGAGCATGGGAGGTTCATGAAAAGGGGATATATCAGGAAGCAGGTCGCCTGGCAGCCCAGCGCAGGCCGTTGAGCAACTTACCCCCATCATGCGCCACACTGAAGGGATAGTAGCTGTAGAGCTGGGGCGAGGAGGGAGCGTGTGCGGAGGCTGGAAAGAGAGAAAAGTGAGCGAGAGGAGGAAGGTTCGTCTGACAGCCCAGCGTAAGTTGTTGTGCAGCTTGCCCGCATCGTATGCCTGCCCCACACACACGGATTGCACGGCCTCACCTGCCTGCCTGTGATTCGGGGAACGACAGCGATCGAGGCTGCATCGGCAAACCCCTGAGTCGTTAAGAACACATCCACCGACACTTGGATGCCATTTCCTCACACGCTGCCATTTCCTCACATGCTGCCATTTCTTCACATGCTGCCATTTCCTCACACGCTGCCATTTCCTCACACGCTGCCATTTCCTCACACGCTGCCATTTCCTCACACGCTGCCATTTCCTCACACGCTGCCATTTCCTCACACGCTGCCATTTCCTCACACGCTGCCATTTCCTCACACGCTGCCATTTCCTCACACGCTGCCATTTCCTCACACACTGCCATTTCCTCACACGCTGCCATTTCCTCACACGCTGCCATTTCCTCACACGCTGCCATTTCCTCACACGCTGCCATTTCCTCACACGCTGCCATTTCCTCACACGCTGCCATTTCCTCACACGCTGCCATTTCCTCACACGCTGCCATTTCCTCACACGCTGCCATTTCCTCACACGCTGCCATTTCCTCACACGCTGCCATTTCCTCACACGCTGCCATTTCCTCACACGCTGCCATTTCCTCACACGCTCACTCACCAGCCACACACAATTGCAAGCCATGCCGCACCCTCACCTGTCCGCCGGTGATCCTGGGAATGACAGCGATGGAAGCTGCATCGGCGAACCCCTGCGTGGTCAAGAACACATCAACCGCCACTTGGAAATCCGCCATTTCCTCTGCCATCGGCCTCAGCTGCTTGTCGTTCGGCTGCCCCATCCCCACTGCAACCCACTCCCTCACTCACACACCACTGCAAACCCTGGCCTCACCACGCCCACAACCCCTACAGGCAAGCTACTCTCACCTGTCCGCCTGTGATCCTGGGAATGACAGCAATCGAAGCTGCATCGGCAAACCCCTGGGTGGTCAGAAACACATCAACCGCCACTTGGAAATCCGCCATTTCCTCTGCCATCGGCCTCAGCTGCTTGTCGTTCGGCTGCCCCATCCCCACTGCAACCCACTCCCTCACTCACACACCACTGCAAACCCTGGCCTCACCACGCCCACAACCCCTACAGGCAAGCTACTCTCATCTGTCCGCCTGTGATCCTGGGAATGACAGCAATCGAAGCTGCATCGGCAAACCCCTGGGTGGTCAGAAACACATCAACCGCCACTTGGAAATCCGCCATTTCCTCTGCCATCGGCCTCAGCTGCTTGTCGTTCGGCTGCCCCATCCCCACTGCAACCCACTCCCTCACTCACACACCACTGCAAACCCTGGCCTCACCACGCCCACAACCCCTACAGGCAAGCTACTCTCACCTGTCCGCCTGTGATCCTGGGAATGACAGCAATCGAAGCTGCATCGGCAAACCCCTGGGTGGTCAGAAACACATCAACCGCCACTTGGAAATCCGCCATTTCCTCTGCCATCGGCCTCAGCTGCTTGTCGTTCGGCTGCCCCATCCCCACTGCAACCCACTCCCTCACTCACACACCACTGCAAACCCTGGCCTCACCACGCCCACAACCCCTACAGGCAAGCTACTCTCACCTGTCCGCCTGTGATCCTGGGAATGACAGCAATCGAAGCTGCATCGGCAAACCCCTGCGTGGTCAAGAACACATCAACCGCCACTTGGAAATCCGCCATTTCCTCTGCCATCGGCCTCAGCTGCTTGTCGTTCGGCTGCCCCATCCCCACTGCAACCCACTCCCTCACTCACACACCACTGCAAACCCTGGCCTCACCACGCCCACAACCCCTACAGGCAAGCTACTCTCACCTGTCCGCCGGTGATCCTGGGAATGACAGCGATGGAAGCTGCATCGGCGAACCCCTGCGTGGTCAAGAACACATCAACCGCCACTTGGAAATCCACCATTTCCTCTGCCATCGGCCTCAGCTGCTTGTCGTTCGGCTGCCCCATCCCCACTGCAACCCACTGCCTCACTCACACACCACTGCAAACCCTGGCCTCACCACGCCCACAACCCCTACAGGCAAGCTACTCTCACCTGTCCGCCTGTGATCCTGGGAATGACAGCAATCGAAGCTGCATCGGCAAACCCCTGGGTGGTCAGAAACACATCAACCGCCACTTGGAAATCCGCCATTTCCTCTGCCATCGGCCTCAGCTGCTTGTCGTTCGGCTGGCCCTCCCCACTGCAACCCACTCCCTCACTCACACACCACTGCAAACCCTGGCCTCACCACGCCCACAACCCCTACAGGCGAGCTACTCTCACCTGTCCGCCTGTGATCCTGGGAATGACAGCAATCGAAGCTGCATCGGCAAACCCCTGGGTGGTCAGAAACACATCAACCGCCACTTGGAAATCTGCCATTTCTTCCGCCATCGGCCTCAGCTGCTTGTCATTTGGCTGCAGCAGCTTCAGCACGTCTTTATCTGCAACGGTGGCGTTTGCTCGTCCCTCTGCTTCTCGAGAGGAAAGTGATCCGATGCCAACAGAAGGAAGAACTGCGGACGGGGCAGAAGGAACAGGGAAGGTGGGACGGGGTAGAAGGAAGAGGGGGGGGAAGGATGTGAGCTGCTTGTCGTTGAGCTGCAGCAGCTTCAGCACGTCTTTATCCGCCACTAACGCGCTTGCCCTCCCTCTGGATTCTCGAGACAAGAGCGACCCGATTCCCGCAGAGGGGAGAGCTGGAGGAGGAGAGGGAGGGGCAGGGAACGAGGGCCGGTGAGAGAAGGGAAGCCACACAGCAAAGGCCTTGCATCTTGTCGTTTGGCTGCAACGAAATGACTTTTTCCAGCTCATGCGCTACGAACCAATTCCGAAAACGAGACACGGGTACATGAATACACACGATTCAAGTATCCAGCTAGAGGACCAGATGTGCCAGCATTGTGGGTGTGTATGAAAGGCAGTATCTGCCGAGCTAGCTGGAATGGGCAATAGTACCTGACTGGAAGGCTAGGATCCGGCCTCCTGTTTTCTTCATGGCTAGGAAAGCACCCTGGAGGGAGGGAGAGAGAGAGAGAGAGAGAGAGAGAGAGAGAGAGAGAGAGAGAGAGAGAGAGAGAGAGAGAGAGAGAGAGAGAGAGAGAAGAGGAGTGGCAGACGAGGAGGCAGTGGGAGAGGAGAGGAGAGTGGGGAGGGAGCGAGGAACAAAAAAACGCAAACGGGGTGAATAGAAGAATTAGCACCCCTGGCAAGCTGGGTGACAAAAAACCTTGCCAGCCCCCTGGCAGCGCTTCTCTCCCAGGCATGAGTCATTTTTGAGAATTCTCAAAAGTCACTCCCATATAAACCTTACCAGCCCCCTGGCAGCGCTTCTCTCCCAGGCATGAGTCATTTTTGAGAATTCTCAAAAGTCACTCCCATATAAACCTTGCCAGCCCCCTGGCAGCGCTTCTCTCCCAGGCATGAGTCATTTTTGAGAATTCTCAAAAGTCACTCCCATATAAACCTTGCCAGCCCCCTGGCAGCGCTTCTCTCCCAGGCATGAGTCATTTTTGAGAATTCTCAAAAGTCACTCCCATATAAACCTTGCCAGCCCCCTGGCAGCGCTTCTCTCCCAGGCATGAGTCAGCGACTCAAGTCTCTGCAAACACCCCTAACAATTATGCACCCCCACACATACCTCTCTCCCCACACACACCCACACTGCACACACTCACCTGCAGCGCTGCGCCCAGGCATGAATCAGCAACACGTGTTTTGGCAAACATCTGAGGAATCGACTCCAACAGCTGCTGCAGCTGCTCCCACACCCACCCATCCCCTATCCAGACACACGCATGCACAGAAAACACACTCACCTGCAGCGCTGCCCCCAGGAATGAGTCAGCGACACGTGTCTCGGCAAAAATCTGTATTATTGACTCCAGCAGCTGCTGCAGTTGCTCCCGCACCCACGCACAAACAAAGCACACCCACCCACACTCCTGCAATGCAACGCTGCCCCTCCCTTCCCCCTTCCTCAATCACCCACCTGCAGCGCTGCGCCCAGGCATGAGTCAGCCACGCGTGTCTCAGCAAACATCTGGGGGATCGACTCCAGCAGCTGCTGCAGCCTCTCCCGCGCCTGATGGGGGAACAAAAGGAGGGGAGGAGATGAGAGGGTTTCGAGTTAAGAGGGTAGAGAGGGCAGGCAGGGGCTCGTATCAGGCACGAGTCAGTCAGCCACACGAGTCTCTGCAAACATAGTGACTTTTGAGTCGACTCAAAAGGGGCTCGTATCAGGCACGAGTCAGTCAGCCATGCGAGTCTCAGCAAACATTTGAGAAATCGACTCCAGCAGCTGCTGCAGCCGCTCCCGCGCCTGATGGGGGAATGAGGATGAGAAGGGATGAGGATGAGAGGGGATTAGAGGGGATGAGAGGAAATGAGAGGGAATGAGAACGGATGAGAGGGGATGAGAACGGATGGGAAGGGATGACAGGGGAATAAGAGGGCTTAGGGTTGCAGGGTGTTTGTGAGAATTCTCAAAAACACCCTGCAGCATCATGGGGTAGTAATGAGGGCCCGCAGGGGATCGTTTCAGGGGGCAAGAAACGGCAACGCGTGTTATTCTGACATTTAAGAATTCTCCCATCCCATGGCAAACATCTGTGCAATGATTGCCGCTTCTAACTAAAGCTCGCCTCATCAAACAGTATAATAAGGTAGAACGGCATGGGAATGACATGACCTCCCATCCCATGGCCTGATCATCATGGGAGTGTCATGGGTCAGTGAAGCTCCGACTCAAGCGTACCATAGCTACAGGACTCTACCTCGTCAAGCGGAACGATGAGGTCAGAGGGCAGCGGAGTGTACACGTCTTCCACTTCAGGCACCACCAGCATGGACGGCTGGAGGCGGGAGGGGGGCAAGGGTTGCGATGGGGAAAGTTTGGCAAGGTCTGATGCCAGGGGAGTGTACACGTCTTCCACTTCTGGTACCACCAGCATGGACGGCTGCAGGGGGAAAGGCAGGGGTGGGTGGGGGGTTTGTAGGGGACGATAAGTGGTACAGTAAGGTCTCGTGAGGTCTGACGGCAGGGGGGTGTACACGTCTTCCACTTCAGGCACCACCAGCATGGACGGCTGGGGAAGGGAGATGAAAGGGACACAAGGAGGGAGGGGTAGTGAAGGTGGGGGGTGGATTGGTTGGTTTTAGGAAAAGTATGGTCTCTATGCGGTCAGAGGGCAGCGAAGTGTACACGTCCTCCACCTCTGGTGAGGTCGGACGGCAGGGGGGCGTACACGTCCTCTACCTCTGGGCCACCAGCATGGACGGCTGCAGGTGGGGAGGCAAGAGGGTTACTTACATACAGGCCACATGGCCTCTATAGGGTCAGAGGGCAAGAGGGTTACTTACAGTTACAGGGGTAATAATGCCACATGGCAGGGGCTTATGACCTTCAACAGCAGCACCACCAGTGCATATGGGTAGATGTACCATGAGTGTTACAAGTCAAGTTACGGTTACGGCCCACCGTTACAAGTCACCGTTACAAGTCACTCGTTACAAGTCGCCGTTACAACTGTGGCTAAGACCCACGAACAAATTCGTAACTTGTATTTCTCACCTGCGCCAGAGAGCTGTTGAGGCTGTAGAATTGGATGGTGGAGTTGAAGGTGGCAAAGGCAACGAGCGTGCGACCGCCCTCCTGGGAGAGGAGTGATGCAGTGGGGGTGGAGAGGGGTGAAGAGGCGTGGAGAGGGGCACAGGGTAAATGGTGTAACCAGATACAGGGAGCTGTTAACGCTGAATAAGTGGATGGTGGAGTTGAAAGAGGCGAATGCAACGAGCGTGCGACCCTCCTGAGAGGGGTGAAGAGGGGTGAACAACAGTGGTGGCAAATTGGGGTAAAGAAAAGCTCATGGGCATGGTGAATTCGTCTCTCTCACAGAGGAAACATGTCCAAATTGTTATCGTGTCTCTCTTACAGGCAGGTCCTGCAGAACTTTTGAGGCACCTTAAAAGTCGAACTCTTACAGGCAGGTCCCGCAGAATGCGAGAGATCCCGCAGAATGCGAGAGATGGAGGAGCACGCAGCCGAGGCAGCTCCAATTGTGACTCGAGGATTAAGCTTGGTCAGTTAACACAGTTTCTGTGGTGAAGCAGCAGCTAAACACTCACACAGGTAGGTGTAAACAGAGTCGTTTTGAGACGTCTCAAAACAACTCTGTTAACAAGGTGACTTTTGAGTCGATTCAAAAGTCACCTCGTTACAATGGCACACGACAAGACGTCGCAAAACAACTCTGTTGACACGTGGCTTCTCTCTTTCTGTGGTGAAGCAGCAGCTAAACACTCACAGGCAGGTCCTGCAGGATCTCACAAACTCGCGGCTTGAGCTTGGTTAGTGCAACGCAATTTGTACTTTAGAGTGATGGCATGGCAGCACAGAACACTCACAGGCAGGTCCTGCAGAATGCGAGAGATGGAGGAGCACGCAGCCGAGGCAGCTCCAGCCAACCAGCTTTCCCCCACAGCAGAGTAAACATAGTAGAATCATCACTAACAAAAGACACAAATCAGCTACTGTGGTGTGTGGTGAACTCACAGGCAGGTCCTGCAGAATGCGAGAGATGGAGGAGCACGCAGCCGAGGCAGCCCCGGACGCCACAGCGTTGAAAGAAACATCGAGCAGGAAGAAGTAGACTGGCGGCATGGCATCGCGGATCTGATGTTTGTGTGTGTGGAAAAGGGAGTGCAGCAGAAGTGCTCAGAGGAGGGGAAGTGACAAGGCAGCAGCGTCAGAAGAGGCAGCCCCAGAGGCGACGGCGTTGAAAGAGACGTCCAGAAGGAAGAAGTAGACTGGCAGCATGGCATCGTGGATCTGATATGTGGGAGAGGAGGAAAGGGGAGAGTGTGGGTGGGGATTAGGGCAAGAGGAGAAGTGTGGGAGGACTGAAATCGCAGGGCAGCAGAAGCAGCTCCCGAGGCAACGGCGTTGAAAGAGACATCAAGAAGGAAGAAGTAGACTGGCGGCATGGCATCGCGGATCTGAATGAGAGCGGGTGGAATGGGGTGGACAAAGAGGGAAGAAAGCGCGGCAGATTTGGAAGAAGAGGGAAAGTGACAAGACAGAAGAGGCAGAAGAGGCTGCAGAGGCAGCTCCAGAAGCAGATCCACGGACTGGCCATGCATGCATGCATGCACCCTAGCCTAAGCGCACTTGAAAGAACGTAGAGCACTCACAGAGCCCACAGCAGCACTCACAGAGCCCACAGCAGCACTCACCGAGTACTCCTTGGGAGCCACAAACTCCACGCTCCCGTGCATCAATTCTGGCCTCTCGTCCGCGTCTCGTCGCCTGCCATCCGGGCCGAGGTTGCACACGTACTCACGGGGAGTCTCGTTGGAGACGCCTGGTGGGGGAGAGAGGGACGAGGAGAGAGGAAGGACAGGGCTTTGATTCAGACACTGCATTGGAAAGTGTATCTAATCACCTGCCATCCGGGCTGAGGTTGCACACGTATTCGCGGGGAGTCTCGTTGGAGACGCCTGGTGGGAGGGAGGGACGAGGAGGCAGGTTCGACTCATCAGGAAAAGGGAACATCTCTCCTGCTGCCGTTTGGACCGAGATTACACACGTATTCGCGGGGAGTCCCGTTGGAGACGCCTGGTGGGAGCGAAGAATAGGTGGAAAGAGGGGGATGAGGATGAGGGGAGGTTGACCCACCTTCCCAACCCCACCTCTCCCTTCTCTCTTCCCACTCTCCCACTCACCGCACAGGTTGCAAATGAACTTCCTCCCATGATCCACGAATCTCATGAATGGGTTGATGCATGCCTTGCCCTCTCCCTCATCTCTCTCTCTCTCTCCTCATCCTTGTACCATAACCAGTTCCTCTCTCCCCTCTCACGCACCGCACAGGTTACAGATGAACTTCCTCCCATGATCCACGAATAGCATGAACGGGTTGATTGATGTATGCCTTACCCTTCCAATCCTCTCTCTCCTTATCCTTGGCTAGAACTAGTTCAACTCCCTGTTGCTCTCTCTCTCTCCTCCCACTCACCCCATAGGTTGCATATGAACTTCCTCCCATGGTCCACGAATCGCATGAACGGGTTGATGTATGCCTTGCAGTCTTGCTCCCACCCACCTTCCCAACCCCACCCACTCTCCCAACCCCACCCCTCCCTTCTCTCCCTTCACCAATTCACGCACCACAGAGACTGCATATGAACTTCCTCCTGTGGTCCACGAATCGCATGAAGGGGTTGATGTACGCCTTGCACTCTTGCTCCCACCCACTCTCCCAGCCCCACCTCCCAGCCCCACCCCTCCCCTCTCTCCCTTCACCAATTCACGCACCACACAGATTGCAGATGAACTTCCTCCCGTGGTCCACGAATCGCATGAAGGGATTGATGTATGCCTTGCAGCGGTGGCACCTGACGGGCCCCATCTCTCCAAAGTCCACCACCTGGAGAGACAGTGACAGAAGGTTTATGGAAGAGGGAGAGGGGGAAGGGTTGATGACAGAAGGTGCGGCAGTGTGTGAATGAATTAATGATTGCTCGGCTTGGCAGGGCATGAAAAGGTTGGTGCATGCCTTGCAGCGTTGATGCATACCAATCAGCCTACCCCTCCCACCCACACTCTCACTCACATGCACGGGCGTGTCAGTCGGGTCCTGCAGGGCGAACGGCTGAATCATGATGCTGAGTGAGAGGCATGGCGGAGGTGGTGAGGAGAGGGGCCCACCCACCCACCCACCCAGCCTGCTGACAAACGTTACTTCACCTAGAACCCACCAGCCTCCCCCAACACTCTTACATGCACGGGCGTGTCAGCCGGGTCCTGCAGGGCGAACGGCTGGATCATGATGCTGAGAGGCATGGCTGAGGTGTTGAGAAGATCCGCGGAAAGGGGTATCTGGAGCAAGACGATGGGAAGAGGCGAGGGGGAAGGGGTAGGGGCGGATGGGAAGAGTGTGGGTGAGACGGTGCCCATGGTGGAGGCGGCTGGGTCATGATGCTGAGAGGCATGGCTGAGGTGGTGAGGAGATCCGAAGAGAGGGTTATCTGGATGCAAGAGGGTTATCTGGATGCAAGAGGGTTATCTGGATGCAAGAGGGTTATCTGGATGCAAGAGGGTTATCTGGATGCAAGAGGGTTATCTGGATGCAAGAGGGTTATCTGGATGCAAGAGGGTTATCTGGATGCAAGAGGGTTATCTGGATGCAAGAGGGTTATCTGGATGCAAGAGGGTTATCTGGATGCAAGAGGGTTATCTGGATGCAAGAGGGTTATCTGGATGCAAGAGGGTTATCTGGATGCAAGAGGGTTATCTGGATGCAAGAGGGTTATCTGGATGCAAGAGGGTTATCTGGATGCAAGAGGGTTATCTGGATGCAAGAGGGTTATCTGGATGCAAGAGGGTTATCTGGATGCAAGAGGGTTATCTGGATGCAAGAGGGTTATCTGGATGCAAGAGGGTTATCTGGATGCAAGAGGGTTATCTGGATGCAAGAGGGTTATCTGGATGCAAGAGGGTTTTTGAGAATTCTCAAATATCACTCGCAAGGATGCAAGAGGGTGGCAAGTAAGGGTATAGAAAGAACGGATTGTATTTTAGAATTCTCACAAACAACCTGCAGGGTTATCTGGATGGGAGAGGGTGGCAAGTAAGGGTAGAGAAAGAAAGGAAAGTGTGAGACGGTGACAACGGTCTCACACCTAATCACCCACTCACACCCACTCACACCCACTCACACCTGCTCACACCTGCTCACACCTGCCCACACCTGCCTACACATGCCCACACCTGCCCACACCTGCCCACACCTGCTCTCTCACCTGGTTCAATGGTGCTCGGATGAATCGGGGGCTGCATATACCACAAGTGTGAGACTGGTACCAGTTGACACACCTGCTCTGCTCGCACCCACCTACTCACACCTGCTCACACCTACCTATACCTACTCACACCTGCTCTCACACCTCCTCACCTTCTCACACCAACCCACACCTACTCCCTCCCCTGCTCGCGTGCTCACACCTACCCACACCTGCCCACATCTGCCCACACCTGCCCACACCTGCCCACACCTGCCCACATCTGCCCACACCTACCCACACCTGCCCACACCTGCCCACATACACCTGCCCACATACACCTGCCCACATACACCTGCCCACACCTCCCCACATACACCTGCCCACACCTGCTCTCTCACCTGGTTCAGCGACGCTCGGATAAACCGGGGGCTGCAGTTACCCGTGTCGCGGACCACAAACGATGACGTGGCGGCCTGTGATAGGGGCAAGGCAAGCAAGAAAGGGCGCGTGCACACGGGAAGCACGCAAGAGATTCGTCACGAGCGGAATTGACACTCCAAATCGTGTGGATTCAGACGGGACCCGGGCGCGGACCCCTGCTGCCCCGCAGCCTGCTTGCCCCCGGGGGAAGCAGAGCAGCAGCACTCACCGGTGGTAGGTTAGCCGTGCCGTTCACTCGTGTCTCGAACAGAAACGCGTCCGCGGGGGGCGGAGGGCGCGGGATCTGGTTGGGGTCGATCCGAGACCCGGGCGCCGACCCCTGCTGCCCCGCCGCCTGGCCTGTGAAGGGCGCCATGGGCTGCCGCGCGCCCATCCCGGGGGAGGGGGGCGCATGTCCGCCCATGCCTGGGGACTGGGGGGGCGCGCCCACGCCCGGAGGCTGGGGATGGAAGGGGACAGGGGAAAGCGGAAGAGGGAGGAGGGAAGCGGGAGGAAGTGGTGTGAGAGAGGAAAATCAGGGTGCCGACCCCTGCTGCCCCGGCGCCTGCCTTGTGAAGGGCGCCATCGGCTGCTGCGCGCGCCCATCCCAGGGGAGGGCAGCTGCATTCCAGGGGACTGGGGGGGCGCGCCCACGCCTAGGGGCTGGGGAGGGGGAGGAAGCAGGGACAAAGGATGAGAAATTGGGGCAACTAGAAATAAATGGGAGAAAGAACTAATAGCAACTTGTATATCGCCCTAAGATAACCTAACATAGTAGATTCCACGCATGTCCCCATAGATAACCTAACGCGGATTCTCCGCGCGTAGGCCCTCATAACCCAAACGAGAATTCAGTGAATAACTAAACGCGCGTTGGCCCTCACACTGATTAGGGTCTGCATCTGAAAGCGGTATAAAATGCGGATCTTCCCAAATCTCGGAGAACAAACACAAACAACTTATCCGAATCAAATCAAATCAAAGCGAGCGCGCCTGACGATTTGGCAGGGATTGGGAACAAAGGACGCTTTTGAGAATTCTCAAAAGCAGGGATTGGGAACAAAGGACGGTAAGTTTACACGAAAATGACTTCAACTTTCAAGGGTTGACAGGAGAACTGTGATTCGGCGCACTCACCGTTCCCGCGGGCATGGGATACGCGCGCCGCTGCGCCGCGCCAGCAGTCGGGGGAGCGCCGAAGGGCGGCGGAGGTCCCGCGCCGGGCATCATGGCTCCGCCAGGCGGAGGGCCTGTCGGGGGAGCGGCGGAGAACGGCGGAGGCGGCGCGTGCTGCCCGTACTGCCCCGGCGCGGATCCGGGCGGAGGCGGAGTATGCTGCGCGTATTGCCCTGGGGTGGACCCGGGCGGACCACCGTATTGCCCCGGGATGGTAGGCGGAGGGCTGCCCATAGCTAGCGCGCTCATCTGCTGGGTTGGCGGAGCGGATTGCGTGGCGGCTCCCCCCCATGACGGCGGCGCAGCGCCAGGCGGAGGGTGAGGCGCTCCGAAGGGCGGGGGAGGGCCTCCGGGCGCGTTAAGGGGCGCGCCTGGCTGCGCCGGCTGCGGCGGAGCGCCGTACGATGGCGGACCATACGGCGTGGGTCCGGTAGGCGGAGTGCGGGATTGCGCCGGCGGCGGGGGGGCCTGCTGCTGCGGGGGGTAGCCAGGGTACTGCTGCGGCGCACCGGGGTATCCGGAAGGGGGACCGCTGGGGCGGGGCGCGCCAGGGGGAGCGGCGCCTGGCGGAGCGGAACCCGGCGGAGGACCGCCAGGGCGTGGTCCACCCCCCGGGGGGCCCGCGAAGGGGCCAGGCGGACGGGCTGCTCCTCCTGGCGGGCCACCCGCGGGAGGCCCTTGGAAACCCGCAGGCGGACCCGCAAATCCAGCTGGCGGGCCCCGCGCGCCGGGCGGCGCAACCCCCGGGGGAGGCGGACCTGCGGGCCGTGAACCCGGCGGAGGGCCGGCGAACGGTCCCCCGGGGAACGGAGGTCCGGCGGGCCTTGCGCCAGGCGGCTGCGCAGATCCCGGCGCACCAGGCGGAACCTGCCCTGGACCAGGGGGTCCGCGCGGAAATCCTTGTTGCTGCGGGGGGTGCTGGCCCGGGGGGAAAGCCGGTCGTGCTGGCGGAGCGGTTCCCGGAGGCGGGCCGTACGGGGGAGCGGCGCCGGGTGGAGAGGGGCGCCAGCCCGGGGGAGGATTCTGAGGCCTCATGGCTGGCGGATGCTACAGTGTAATGGAACCGGTTGATGTTACAATCTGATGCTACAATCTGATTCCACTAATTGATCTTACAAATAGCGACCAGAGATTTGCGAGCCAAAAACGGGAAATAAAGATTTCAATGTTCAAAAGTAACTCGAGATCGGAGAAGCTGGAGAATCTACTAGCGTGATTGGAATAGATCCCTAACTCCACCGATCGATAGTTGTGCGAAGGATCTGCTAGTATGATCAATGAGCCAAAAATGCCGCGAGGAAGGAAGCAGTGTCAGAAGTTCTGGAAGATTGTGTGGTGGAAGGTGGGAAGATTTTGAAATCATGTACCACTGGTATGGTACGTTGCGGTTCGATGTGGTAGAGATCAGTTCCTGTGAATAACTGGAAGACAGCTGCTACTGAAACGGATCTCCAAACCAAACCAATCTGACCCTACCAGCAAACCTAGAACATGCCGCGGCTGGCTGGGGCTCCGAGAGGTGTAACAGGGGCCTAATTACGAAACGTTCCTCTTCGTCGAATCGAAACACAATTTCACAAAAGATCTCTCCACGGGAATGACGCACCCAAGCCTGCAGTAACGCAGCTGCAACCTTCCTGCCATTGGGATTGGTGGCTTTGGGGTCAGGCTATTATTAGAATATGCATATTTTTATGAATTTAGAAAGCTTGCTTTCTTATTCTGATCATTTGGCATCGTTCTCATTTCAACTGGCATCGTTCTCATTTCAACTGGCAAATTACAACATGCGCCTCGAGCTAGACAATATAGATGCTAGTACATGACCTGATACTACCTACCATAGCATTGTACTAGCTATCCCGCATTATGCGTGCGTACTACCAATCATAGGACTAACTGTTTGTCCTCCTGTTCCAGCGGCGTCACGGATGTCCTTGGTGTCGGGGTGGGGGGTGGGAGAGTTGCATGAGCCGTTGGAAAATGAGAGACGTGGGTGGAGGGAAATGAGCTCCAACCCACAATTTGTAGTTGGAGAAGGGCGTTTAGCGCGCTTCGACGATGCCAAATCTGCGTTACAGGCAGCTGCGCTTTCGAAATACGTAATTTTAAAACACACTTCGTATGTTTAAAAATTATCATATTTAGAAAGCTTGTTTTCTTATACTGATCATTTGGCATCGTTCTCATTTCAACTGGGGTCTCTGAGACATGGGCAGCGGGGGCTTTCGATGACGGACGAGTGCCTCAGCATGCTGCGCTGAAGAAGGGGCGTATGTCAGATCTTGCAACTGACGGGAGGCGTTGACGAGGTGTTCGGCGTTGGGCGTGACGTACATCTCCTTCGCTGTGTCGTTGCGCCATCTGCCCAGTCGTTTGAAGATTCTGTCTGGCACACCGGTGTTTGCCGCGGCAGTGGCTGCTCCTTTGCGAAAGGAGTGAGTGCCCAGCTGCTGTTCCCCTAATCTGATCCTCAAGAACACTTCTTTGCGCCAGTTTCGAATCGTCGGGTATGATGGCGGCCTTGCTTGGCCACTTTGGGGTGAACCGCGTCCAAAGATTCGAATAAGTGGCCCCGCGGACTGCTGGTCGTACCCCGCGAGTTGGATGAGTCGTCGGGTGCAGCGGACGGGGCAAAAGGGATCATGGTTGCGGCGATGGGTATCCATGTGCCCCTTCCAGCTTGGTCCGTCTTGGAGTACGGAATTAGGATCCACATGACCTCGTTCTCGAAATGGATGTCTTGCCACTCGATGACGATGAGGTCCGAGTATCTTAAAAATCTGGTGTACATGAGGATGGGGATTAGCCCCTTTTGGAACTCTCCTGGGTTGTCGGATTGCAGGTAGCTGGCAGACATGTCGTGGACTTGTTGCAGCGAGACAGGCTCCTTCACTCGCATGGGGCGAGGGCAGTGTCTTTTTGCGAAATCGCGTACTTGAGTGGTGAATGGTCCAATCGTTGGGCATATGCTCCCGGTCATGCGGTGTGCAAAGCTCACGGCTGAGCATGTGAGTTGTACCATAGACAAGGTGGCTTTGTGTTGGATAGCGTGCACCAGGTACAGCGCAAGGTGTCAGACTTATATGCTATAGTCTGTGTAGGCTGTAGTGGGGTAGACAATATGGGGTACAACACTTTTAGGTTTTCCTACTTGTACCCACCTGTTTCCTAGTGCATCCATTCCTTGTTCTTATTCTCACATGGTATTAGAGCAGAATCGTTCCTAGGGCCCACCGAACGTTCCGCCCTGCCCTAACTGAAATATTTTTTTTTAGCTGCCCCTGCAGCCGCGCTGCCCTTGCAGCCGGCGTGCTCCCCCTGCGACCGTGCTGCCCCTGTAGCCGTGCCCGCCCGTGCAGCCATGCCTGCCCCTGCAGCCCGTGGGCGCTGCCTGTGCATCAGTGCCTGCCCCTGCAGCCCGTGGGTGCTGCCCCTGCAGCCAGCGCGCTGCCCTGCCGAGCCGCGTGTCGCCCGTGGGCGCTGCCTCTGCCCTGCCGAGCCGCGTGACGCCCGTGGGCGCTGCCTCTGCGACCCTCGTGTCGCCCCCCGCTGCCCCGTCGCGCTGCCCTGGTAAGCCGCGCGCGACCCCCCGCTGCCACGTCGAGTCGCCCTGGGGAGCCGCGCTCGGCCCCCCGCTGCCCCGTCGCGACGCCCTGGGGAGCCGCGCTCGGCCCCCGCTGCCCCGTCGCGACGTCCTGGGGAGCCGCGCTCGGCCCCCGCTGCCCCGTCGCGACGCCCTGGGGAGCCGCGCTCGGCCCCCGCTGCCCCATCGCGACGCCCTGGGGAGCCGCGCGCGACCCCCCGCTGCCCCGTCGCGACGCCCTGGGGAGCCGCGCTCGCCCCCCCCCCCCCCCCCCCCCCCCCCCCCCCCCGCTGCTCCGTCGCGGCGCCCTGGGGAGCCGCGCTCCGTCCCCCCTCGCTGCAGCCCGCGAGCCGCCTCTGCAGCGCCGAGTGCGACCTGCCAAACCCTAAAATAAATAATTAATTAAAAAAAAAAAAGAGAGAGAGGAGCCCTAGGTGCTGCTGCCCTAGGTGCTACTGCTGCTACTGCTGCTACTGCCGGCCGCCCCTGCCCCGCCCTGCAGCAGCTGACGTCGCGGCCCTGCCCCGCCCTGCAGCAGCTGCCGTTGGGGCCCCTGCCCCGCCTTGCAGCAGCTGACGTCGCGGCTCTGCCCCGCCCTGCAGTAGCTGCCGTTGGGGCCCCTGCCCCGCCCTGCAGCAGCTGACGTTGCGGCCCTGCCCCGCCCTGCAGCAGCTGCCGTCGCGGCCCGGCCCCGCCCTGCAGCAGCTGCCGCAGAGCTCCCTGCCGCGGTCGCGGCCCCGCCCTTCAGCAGCTACCGCGGAGCCCTCGCCCTGCAGTGGTAGCGGCCTCGCCGTTGCCGCCGTCGTACGCCTGCCCTTCTCGCCACTGGTGAGCACTGCCCTGCCCGTACTGCTGTTACTGCTGCTCCTGCTGCTACTGCTTTTTTCTACAGCTACTGCTGCTCCTAGCGTGGCCAGATGCAGCTCCAGCGCCGTCCGCGTGAGTCCCTCACGCCCCAGCAGCTTCGTGAGTGGTACGCTAGCTGGGGTTGTAGGGGTGGCCGCGCTGCTACTACTGCTACTGCTGCTACTACTGCTACTACTGCTACTACTACTACTGCTGCTACTGCTGCTACTACGGCTACTACTGCTACTGCTGCTCCTGGCGGTGGCCAGATGCAGCTCCAGCGACGTCCGCGTGAGTCCCTCACGCCCCAGCAGCTTCGTGAGTGGTACGCTAGTTGGGGTTGTCAGGGTGGCCGTAGTGGGAGTCGTCCTGGAGTGAGTAGTTCGGGAGCTTCTTGTAGTGGCCAGGTGCAGCTGCAGCGTCGCCCGCTCGCGGTCCTTTCGCCCCAGCAGCTTCGTGAGTGGTACGCTCAGCGTGGAGGGTCACGGGGTACTGCTCGCTGCCCGTACGTGATTCGCACTGGTGCTCGGACTGGTCAGCCTTGCGGGACGTTTGGTCATACAGAGTCCCGCTGCTTCGCTTGTCTGAGCGACGCCTGGCGTACTGCGTTTGGCGACGCGGCTGAGCTCCCCGACTGGGTGGAGCTGCTTAGGCAGAGGGTAGATATCTATGCTCTTGACTCTGATGCTATCCTCACTGCCATGTATGCATTGCCTACTAGTGCTGAGGGTGCCTGTTACCTGTGTGTGCCGCCTGACCCCGGTATCCAGTCTGCTGCTCTAGGTGCTGGTGAGGCTGCTGCTCTAGGTGCTGGTGCGTCTCCTGCTCCAGGTGCCGGTGAGGCTGCTGCTCTAGGTGCTCGTGAGTCTACTGCTCCAGGTACTGGTGAGTCTGCCCTCTCTGGTGCTGCGCCTGCTGCGATCTTCCACACCTTCACCCTTGACTCGGGAGCTTCTCGCTCCTTCTTTCGAGACCGCACCACACTCACGCCGCTTAGTCGGCCGGTTGCAGTCTCCCTGGCAGACCCCTCTGGGGGTCCTGTCCTTGCCCACTACTCCACTGTCCTACCGTGTCCGGCGGCCCCTTCTGGCTCCCTGTCAGGTCTTTACCTCCCCTCGTTCTCTACGAACTTGGTGAGTGGTGCTGACCTACAGGATGGGGGGGTTGACCAGTTCACTCCTGCGAGTCAGCGAGTGACCCACTGCACGTGTGCTCGGACGGGCCGACACTTGGCCACGTTTACCCGTCAGCCGGGGTCGAGCCTGTACACACTCACTACCGAGTCTCCTTTGGTTCCTGCGTCTGGTCAGGTAGCTGCGTCGAGTCAGGTGTTTGCTGCAGCGTCCAGGTCTAGTCCTGAGTCTGCCCCCTGCTCGTGTCGTCTCCTGTCTCACCAGACTCTCCTCTGGCACCACCGCCTTGGTCACCCCTCCCTGCCTCGTCTCCGGGGCATGGCCTCCCGTGTCCTTGTCTCTGGTCTGCCCCGGTCCCTCCCTCCCCTTCCCCCGGGGCCTGCCCCTACCTGCGTTCCCTGCGTCGAGGGGCGGCAGCGCGCCGCTCCTCACTCCTCCGAGTTTCCTCCGACAGAGGCTCCGCTGCAGAC